AGGAGGGCCCCTTCGCGGCTCGGGTTCAGGGTGATGTCCAGGCGGAAGCGGCCCGCCTCGTTGCCCCGGATGATGCGGTAGGAGCGGTGGTCCACCCCGTTGGAGCCAATGTCCGAGTCGGTGGCGGTGTCTAGGATGACCTGGCGCCCGCTGCTGCTGTCCTCCTTGAAAGTGACCACGATGGACGGGTCCGGGAAGACAGGGGCGTTGTCGTTGAGGTCCCGCACCAGCACTCGCACCTCAGTGGGGTAGGTGGGGGAGCTGGACAGGACCACCAGGTTGATCACGTCGCTGGGCAGGCTCTCACGATCGATGGTGGCGGTGGTGTACAGGGCGCCCGTGCTGCTGTTGATGGCAAACAGGGCGTGGCTTTCGCTGAGCCGGTAGGTGAAGCCGGGGCGCGTCTGGATGGTGCCGACCAGAGTGCCCGGAGGTTGCTCTTCCAGCACGTGGAACAGCGGCGCGGCCCCGCGGCCCCGGCTGGGGCCAGGAAGCAGCAGTAACAGCCAAAAGCCCCGGAGGAGCTGAAACACGGACAAACTACGCAGGGGATGCCAGGGGCGGCCAGGAGCCCGGTCTGCTGCCAAGTCCATGGTCCTGGCTCCCTGGAACCGTGCGAGGACGAGAAGGAAGCGGATAAGCACACGAGATGGTATTTACAAGGATTAAATAACGCCAGCCAACATGCGGCCGACGGCTCGGCCTCGACCTCCGCTATGGCAAAGTGCCTCCAGTCCCGCAGAGGCAGGTCGCATCCGCCAAAGGCTCCAGGTAGCCGGCGGGACGCGCAGGGCTAGAGGCGCCAGGCGGAAAGCGGCCGCGCATTCCGCGGGACACTCTTGGAGTTGCGCTCTCAGAAAAGTTCATGCAACCGCTCCCGTTTCCCCTTCACTTGGTTTCTGAATCCAGAGTCTGAGCGTTTTCGCCGGGGTGGATGCGAGGTGGGAAAGGTCGCCTGTATTTAAGGAATAGGAGGAATCATGGCAAACAATTGTCTTCGGAAACTTTAGAACTTACCCACAACGGAGAAACGGGAGAGCGGGGAGCGGGCGGCACCACCCGAGCGCAATTGCGCACCCGCAGGGCGGCGGGGCGCGGGGAGGCTCGGATTCCGTTCCGAGAAGCTGGAGGCGAGGGCTGTCCCCCAGTCCCCACTCTCACAGCCGGGCTGCAACGCCCCTCCGCTCCAGCAGGGCTCCGGCAGCGGCCGCGGAGGCCCGGGCGCCGCGTTCCGAGCACTCGCGCTCACCCCCGAGCTCCAGGACCCGGGACCGAGAGCGCTCAGCTCCGTCCCTTCCCCTCCAGCCG